AGGGGAACCTCAGGTCAAATCCTGGTTCTGCCCTTACTACCCATGAGACCTTGAGCACATTGCTTAACTTCTCTGAGCTTCTGGCAGCTGCTCTAAGAGAATGATCTAAATAGGTTGCTATCCATATGAGTGGAAAGAGTCCCCCTCACTAATAATGTTCTTGACACATCCATGTTATTAACATATTAACGATGTGTGCAAGGCCTTATCCTGGGCACCAGGCATAGAAAGATGATATAGAGACCAATTTAGACTCAATGGAAAGAAAAACTTAGTAACAATTAGAGCTGACCCAAAGTGGAATGAACTCCCTTGGGAGGTAGTAAGTTCCCCATCTCTAAGGTCTTCAAGCAAAGGCTGGATAACCAATTATTTGGCACATAGGTTATTGAGGGGATATCTGTCATGGTATTGACTAGCTATCCCCTTAAGACCCTTCCAACTCTTGAGATGCTGTGAATCTATGAAGCTAGACATAGTCCCTCCCTCAAAGAACTTAGAGTGTGGATGTGACCCCCACACACACATATACACATCACTTAAAGAGTTCCCCATTTAATGTCATTTCACAATTAGATTGATAATCCGCTGTATCCAATCCCCACTTGAAAGTTGACTCCCTAGTTCCTTATTCCTCACTTAATATATTCACTTGCTCTCCTTCTTTCTAGTAGGGTTGTTGGGAGGAAAGTGTTTTGTGCATCTGAAAGAAATAGAAATGTGTGATACTGAATAGTGTGTTAAACACTAAATATAGTTTATCCTTAGCAGTGAGTAGCAGCCCCATTCATGACAAAGAGGCATTGAGTTAATAGTTCCACCTAGTTACTTCTGGAAGACAAAGGGAAAGAGGACAGGAAAAGATAAATAAAACCTGAGCTTTTTCAGACCTTTAGCCCAGTCCCTGCAAGGTCAGAGTCACTGCCCCACTGGTAACTGGGCTCCCTCTAGTTACTTGAAGAGGCTGGGCTCAGGTCAGGAGGATTTAGCCCCTCAGGTCTTAGTTTCCAAATTAAATCAGTGACACCTCCCCCCATCCCAAGCCCAGCTTTCTGCAGTTTATGCTGAAGCTCAGTATGCTTTTACAAATGCCTTGTGCATCTGAGGGTGATATATTGTCCCTGCCAAGCTGTGAGCAAAGGATTGTTTTTAAAGCAACAATGCCCAGACTCATCTGAGAATTGTCATTTTTAATGAGATCTTAAACTACAGATCTGGGAATTCCCATCCTCCACTTAGATTAATATCTGGCTTTTTGGCTGCTTATCCTTAAGCCAGTCATCTCCCCCTCCCCTTCCTACCCATCCCTCAAGGATCCATGCAAAGATTTAGTGCATTTTATCTGCACACCTTGGGCCTTCTGGCATATCCCAGCAGCCCTGCCCAGCTTAGCCCTGCTTTAATTGCAGGTCTCTCTAAAGACACTTTGGAAGCTTTGTTTTTGGTCTCGATTTAGGCTGTCCAGGAACAGCTCTTCCATTTAGAACTCTGTTGCTATAGAACTAACTGGCCCCCATAAGTATGCTTCACCTAGAGTTGTATCTCCACAGAACCAGTGAATGACATTAGGGGGAATATTCTGTACCGTGCCATTTAGAATATAATCATTGCATAGGAGAGATCAAAGAGAGAAGCATGAGAAAATTGAGGAAAGCAAAGGCATGTCTAGCTGGTGACATCAAGGGAGGCTTCATGGATTTCTTTATAAAATGTGTGAAGGGAGAGTATGTAAAGTCAGGCTAGGAATGTGGGTTGGAGCCAGACAGAAAGGTCCTGAACATCAAAATAAGGAGTTAGTAACTAAATACTAGGGAGCCACTGCAGGCTTTTGAGTATAGGAGTGATGTGATCAGAGTTCTAATTTAAGAAGAGCATGCTAGCAGTGATAGGAAATACAGATTGGAGAGGGGAAGCTGGCAAACCATTTAGGTAGATACTACAATAGTCTAAACCCAAGATAATGATCCAGAGTGGTTACAAGACCAGGATCTGAGATAGAGTAGAGGTAGAATCAATAAGACTTGGGAACTAATTGGATGGAGGGGGGAGATGGCAAGTGAAGGAGAGGGAAGAGTCAAAAATGACTTTGGCTTCAGACCCCTTGTGACTTGAGAGTTCCATTGTGGATGTGTTGGGTTCAAGAGGTGGGTAGAATACCCCAGTGGCTAGCAAGCAGACAGTTGGAGGGTCTTTTCCTAGGCCAGTAATGGAAGGTAGAAGGTTGTGGGTGCTGATGAGAGGAGAGCAGCAGGAGCCTTCAGTGGACCTGCATGGGCCCACAGGCTTTGTAGGCATACCGTCCACCTCATCTAGTTGTCTGGGTGGATAGGTAGGAGGGGGACTCCCTAAGATCTCTCCTGAACCAGAGAGAGGGAGGAGGTTACTTTCTCTAGCCAGCTGGTAGCCAGCAGTGAGGGCAGCAGTCTAGGCTCCTGTGTTTCCTCCTCAGTGGAAAAAAAAAATCTTCATTTTTTTTTTTAATCCTGCAGTTAACTGTGATGTCACCACTCTGCATAGCCCTTTTCTTCTGGAGAGTTCCAAGCAGCCATGGGCACATATAGACACAAACACAGGCCAAGCCAGGGAATAATTACAGTAGCTTGAATATCTGTAACACCTCAAGGATTATAAAGTGCTTTCCTCCCAACAACCATGCAGTGTCCCCATTTCATGGGTCAGGAAGCTAAGGCTCAGATAGATGGAGTGACTTGCCCACAGGACTCATAGTAGAAACCCAGGTGTCCTAGGTGCATGTGCAGGGTTCTTTCCAGCACCTCCAGGCCCAGGATCAGTGCCCTGGCACAGCAGCCTGTGTCCTCTTGAGGAGAAACAGATCCTGCTAAGTGCTCAGTCCTACTCATCGAAGGTCTTCAAGTACAGACTGGACGAATACTTCATAGTACATTATAGAGGGGATCCTTGTTCATGGATGAGTTGAACTAGATGGTTAATGAGGTCCCTTCCAACTCTGAGACTATGATGCTCTTCACGTTAATATCTTCTTGTAGTATAGGATGGACAAAGGAGACTGGAGGGGAATCGGACTGCTCAAAGGGCTTAAGAACTGGCCAGATAGTGGGGGAGGGTGGCAGTAAGCAGGGACCCTAGATCAATCCCAACCTAAAACTTTGGCAGCAAAAGCCCTTGAGCAGCTATTGGAGCAACTACAGCCATTGACTCCTCTTGCCTGCTATATTCCAGAGATCAGTATGGAGATAATTCTTTGCCTCTTATGCTTCATACTTCCCTGTAATCTGAGCTTCTTTATTAAGAACTAGCTCTCTTTGTCCTTGCTCAGCTACCTGGCTTCAAAGCGACTAACACAGCCTGCTCAGCCATGCTCTTGCATTGCTCCCCTAACTCTGCATGACCCAAAGCTGAAAAATAGCTGGATGGCTGAGCCACGGCACTGTGTGTATGCATGTTTGGGGGCTAGGGGGGTCAGTTGGGCTGTTGGGAAGGGCTTCAGTGTCCAGCAATCACCAGGCTACTGGTTCACACTCTATCATTTTGGAAAAGAAGGAAGGAAACGCAGCTCATGGTGTGAGGACCTTGGAGAGCTCAACTACGAAGCTCAGGGCATGAGCTACACTAATGATGGGTCCCTTTCCTAACTCACTTGCTGATAATGCTGAAATGGGCAAGGAGGATTGTGACTTCTGATGTGTAACTGTGAAAAACACCCGTTGCAGCTCAATGGAAGTAGTTTGTGAAAAAGGACGGTGCCTTCCTCATTGCTGTACCCACAGGGGAATGGAAGTTGCAGGTGGGATCTCTCTTTGTACTACAGAGACCATAAGTGGACTGACCCCATTCTTGTATCTTACTCATTCCCCCGTCCAGTGAGTGTCCTGTACTTGGGCTGGGGAGGGAAAAGAAGGGAGCCACTTATGCAGAGGCTGATTTAGCTTAGCCACCAGGGAAATGTGCACATCCTATGGGAATTTCCCCCTCAGACAGAGCCTAGGATGGAACCCAAGTGTGAAGCTTGTCCTGAAATGCTGCACACCAGGCATGGTCCCAATACTGCACGTAGGTGTGGAAGCATCAGCACATTAGTTTCATCTCAGCAGGCCTAGAAGAGAGGCCAGACAAGGATTATTATGCCCATTTTACAGATGAGAAGCCCACAGAGAGCTAAAAGTGGCTTGCCGAAAGTTATGCAGCTGGTACCCAACTAGGAAACCCTGAATTCAAAATCTACTTTGGACACTGTAACTGTAAAGCTGTTTACAGCTGGGCAATTCACTTAACTCTGCAGTTCTCTAGGCAACTGTCTAAGACTGTGAGTTGCAGAGATGGTTCTTACCTGTATTGGCAGAGGCAGCTTCCACACCTGGGAATTCCCTATGCTAATCAAATCACAGGCCCAGGCCCTATCCCTGTCCAAGCCAGGAGTAGAACCCAGGCCTCTTGCTGCCCAGACCCATATTCTTTCCAGTGAACCAAGCTAGTTCAATACAACCAAGAAAGGTTTTGAGTCTCCCTCTCTTGCCTGTCATCCATGCTGTGTTCCCCAGCCTCTCCTCTCCAAACGGAGTATTGGCTTTAAGATGTGGCACCCAGGGGGCTGTAATATTGGATCGCACTGGGGAAATTCCTACCTGGCCTGCTTCCACTTCGCAGGAACTTGTCTTTCTGAGCACTGCCAGAGGAAGGCAAATGGCTTGGGTGGAGAAAAGAGTTTGACATTGGTCCTTGCTGTCCCCGCAGCACTGTTAAATTGGGCATGCCCCCTCTCCTACCTCCCTAGAGGACTAGAGCAGTGGGTCATCCCTCAGTCCCCAGCCTGGGCCATCTCCTTCCTCTTCTCTGGCCTTGCTAGTGGAGGGGGACTTGATGGACCACCCAGAAGGGTGGGGAGCAACAGCATCTTCTACATCTCCATGCCACAGGGACGCCTTCAGCCACCACTCCCTAGACAGAGTCCTAGCTCCCATTCTTTGTAGCGCGCGCGCGCATTTCCTTCAATATATTGGCTTTCCTTTATGTCTCCACAGGACTACACCATCACCATGTATTTCCAGCAGAGCTGGAGGGACAAGCGCCTGGCATACAGTGATTTTGATTTCAACCTGACTTTGGACAACCGTGTGGCTGATCAGCTGTGGCTCCCTGACACCTACTTTCTGAACGACAAAAAATCCTTCCTGCACGGAGTGACTGTGAAGAACCGCATGATCCGTCTCCATCCCGATGGAACGGTCCTGTATGGCCTCAGGTATGCCCCCTAGGAGTCTAGAACTCACAATCAATTAGGCAGAGAGCCTGGAAACCCACATCCCACTCACTGGGCATTACAAGAAGAACTTGTGTTGGCCTTCAGCAACACACACTGGGTGTATACTCTTCAAGGTCCCATTATCTAGGTGGGACAGGTGGAGAGGAGCAAGTCAAAGAAACATAAGGTAGAGTTGCTGTCCTCAAGAAGCTTCTCATCTAGTCAGAGAAAAAAAACCATAAAATGTCTGAAGAACACAAGTGAGCAAGTGAGAGAGACAGAGACACACAGAGACAAAGAGAGAGACAGAGAGACAAAGACACAGAGACAGATCCAGAGACAGAGAGAGACTGGTGAGGGCAGGTGTATTCTCTCTTGGTGCCCAGCGATGGCAGTGGGCTCAGTCAGCACAATCAGACTTGCAGTTCTTTGCTGAACCAGGGATGCAGGTCACCCCTGCTGCTTTCCTCTAGGAACGAGTGCTGTGTCCATAGCATAGTCACAGCTACAACTACTTATGCTCCTAATTCTGTCCCCCAAAGGATTGGTGACCTGCAGCCTGCATGCATGCATCTATGGGCACACACACACACATTCACATACCCACACAGGGAAGATTCTTGGAATCCATAGACCTCCACTGTTGCCTGGTCCTTCCTCTGGCTCCTGCTCCTCAGATCCTCCCCCGACCCCAAAGTACAACATTCAGTCAGCCCAAATCCTCAGGATATAATCGTTCCATTTTAAAAAATCAGGTTTCCACCGCAGTTCCTGTCTAAACCTTCTCACAAATTCTCCAGGCTGAGGTGGGGAAAGCTAGCTCTCCTCTGCCTCCAGGGCTCCCCCCTCCCCTGCTATATGACCAGCCTGTCTAGTTGCTTCCCTGGTGACATCTCTCCCATGCCCACAACACTGTCACAAGCTTGGGATTAGGGCTTTGCTGTGAAATTGGCAGGTGAGAAAGCCAGGCTTCATTCAGGGAAGGAGAAGCATTCTTTAGAGGGGAGCTGAGGAAGCAGGGGGGGATTTGGCTTCTGCCTGTCTGAGCCTGGAGTCCTTGACCCTTCTGTGGGCTCCAGATCCTCCCTGCCCCTGCTCCCAGAGTCCTTCCTGCCACACTGGAGGATGTCTGCAAAGGGCAGTTTGGCGTCTGCCCCTCTCAGTGGCCAGCTCCCACTTCAGGGGCCCAGAACCTTTGAAATGCTTCTTGCATGCTCCCCTGATCCTGCCCCCCCCCCCACCAGCAGCAGCACTCTCATACTGTGACCTTAGCCCTTCCCAGGCAGAATTGCCTGGCCTGGCCTTTGTTTTAAACCCTGCTCTCTTCTGGGGACAACCAACTAATCTGGCCAACTAATGAAGAAAGGCTGAGTCTAGCGTGCTATACTTGGGGTCAAGAAAATCTAGGTTCACATCCTGTCCTGAGGGGCAGGTAGGTGGCACAGTGGAGAGAGCTCTGGCTCAGGAGTCAGGAGGACCTGAATTTAAATCCGGCCTCAGATAATTGACACTTACTAGCTGTGTGACCCTGGGCAAGTCACTTAACCCCGATTCCCTCACCAAAAAGCCAAAAAAAAAAAGCCACCCAAATCCTGTCTCTGGCACTTACTAACTGTGTGACCATGGACAAGTTATTTCCTCTACAAGCCTCAGTTTCCCCAAGGGTAAAACAGAGACAATAGTACCCACCTCACCAAACAGCTGTGAGTCTCAAATGAGAAAATGGACATAAAGCACTTGGCAAACTGTAAGCCACCATGTGGTTAGTAGCCATGTGGTACAGTGGAAAGAATGGTGGATTTGGAGTCCGAGGACCCGAGTTCAAATCCCACACCTCTGCTGTTTATGGCCTTGGACAAGTTGCTTAATCTCTCTAGGCCCCAACTTTCTTCATCTGTATTATGATGGGAAGTTGACCTCTAAGGTCCTTTCCAAGCTAACAGACCTTGCCAATGTGAGCCTCTTCCCAACTTCAGATCAGTTGTACAAGTGAATCTTTCCTGATGTCCCTCAAGTCACAGACTCTAGGTGATTCTTCAGGCTACTTCTGTTTCTAGACAACCTTGTTCTGTAGCAGGGGGGCCTCTGAAAAGGCAACTTGACTTCCTCTTGCCGTACCCTGAGTTCCAAGCCTCCTTACCCCTATAGCCCAATTTGGCCCTTAGCCTCAACCATCCCAATGAGTACAGAAGGGCCTAAAGGAAGGAGGACCTAAGGTCATTTGGCTCTTCTGCCAAAGGGCTTGTTACCCCCAGAAGCCATAGGAAAAGAAGAGCTTGGTGCCCAAGCCAGTCACCTAGGATCAGTGTATTCAGCTGGCCTAGGGTTAGTGTCTTCCCAAGAACCCAGACATGGCCCTGAAGGAAAAAGGTAGAAGTCCTTGAGATATCTACCAGGCAGACTCTTCCCTGTAACAAAGCAACCAAGCCATGAGCCCAGAGGTTTCCCAAGATCACAGGCAAGCTTTGGGATCTACTGCATTGGGACTGCTGGAACAGAGTAGAGTCTCGAGGCCAGCCAAACCCCTTCTCTTTTTCCAAGAGGAAGAAGGAGGAGCCCCTGTCACAGAGGACCAGGATATAGGCTGCTGTGAGCCTCGCTGTGGCCATCTGCAACCTGGGATGAAATCCTCCCCACCTTTCCAGACATTGTAAAGCTAGGTGTCTAAGGACTGGCCAGACTTTCCTTCGCCCCCACCCTGCTTCCCCACTGCCCTGCCTTGTTGCAGGCTCTGGCTGGCTGTCAGTCTCTCTCTCCACTAGAAACAAGATGTCTTCCTTGCCATGGGTATGAGGATCCAAGCGCCCTCTAGTAAAAGACCCTTGAGAACTCCCAGGAGATTTTGGTTTCCATCTTTTTAGTCAAGGCCTGGCCTTCAGCGGGGCTTCAATCTCTTGTAGACCAGCAGCAGCCATTAGGGACACAAGAAGGTGAATTGGGGCCAGGATCCAGGCTCTGGCCTCCAGCTTCCTTCTGAGCCTTCATCAACCGCAGTCACCATCAGAGACAGCAAAGAACAAACCACATCCTGGAAAAGGAACATTACCACCAGAGCTGCATCTAAGGCATTAATTAAGCTTTCAAAGTCAAAATGGTACATGGTAAAGCCTTGCTATCTGAGCGAGGACTCAGTGTGAGCTTCCCTTTGGGGACATTAGGCTCTTACTAAATACTTACAAATCACAACCTGTCCATCCCTTCTCATCCTGTGTGATTCTCATCCATATCCTCCATAGGGGCCTTCCTCTAGGAGTCAAGCAGAGGTCCTCTAGACCTCTTAATATGTCATGGATACCAATGGAGCCACAGTAAGCTGTTCATCTGGCATCCCCAGCTTATACTGTATGACCTGCCCACCTCCTTTTCTGGGCATACACCTCTCTGATGAGATCCTTGATGCAACTTCTCCTGAGCAATTCTTCACTGGTGATATCTGGCAGCCTTCTCTGATCACCAGAGCCTTTGGGTGTCTTGCAACTTGAACTCTTTGGCAAATTCCTATTAGGAAAATGGAGATCATCTCCCTTGGAGCTGCCATGAGAAATGTTGTTTAAAAGGGTTATGGAAGCTGTATTGTAGGTGGTGAGGAAATCCTCACTGAGATGGATTGGCCTGGCCCTACATCCCAAGATGGAAGCTGCTGTGTTGTGGTGCCAAACCAGCAGGTTGGCCTGATGTGTCTCTTCAGGTAGTATCCTGAGCCAGCTAGCTGGGTACACAGCGGTAATAGGGAAGGATGGGAACCTCAGGCTGCTATTTTGGGGGGGGGGTTTATTCAGTTCTATTTTGTTTTCAGTTCTGAATTGTCTCCCTCACACTTCCTCCTCCCCCACCCATCGAGAAGGCAAGAAAAACAAAACTTGTTACAAATATGTAGCGTGAAAGCAAAACAAATTCGCACATTAGTCACATCCCCCAACCAAACAAAAGAAAAAGAAATGAAAATAGGCTTCAGTCTGCATGGAGTCCATCCACTCGCTATCTGGAGGTGGGCAGCATGTTTCTTCAGGAGTCCTTTGGACTTAGTCATTGTGTTGATCAGAGTTCCTATGTCTCTCAAAGTTGTTTTTCTTCTCACTGCCATTGCCATCATATAAATTGTTCTCCTGGTTCTGCTCACTTCACTTTGCATCAGTTCATATGAGCATTCTCTGGTTGTTCTGAAACCATCTCCTGTATCATTTCTCATAGCATAATAGTATTCCGCCACCTTCGTGTACCATAGCTTGTTCAACCATGCCTCAGCTGCTGGACAACCTCTCAGTTTCCAGTCATTTGCCACAATGAAAAGAGGTGCTGTAAATATTCAGGCTGCCATTTTGTCTTGCTGTTCACCAAGACTGAAGAGCAAGGAGAAACCTTCCTTCCAAGCGCTGCTGGAACGACATCTCTCGTCAACAAGTGGTAGCTTTTACCACAAAGAAGAGGCTTTTGTGGAAAAAAAAAAAAAGTCCTTCTTGCAGTGATAGTCATGAAGTTTGGAGAGCAATGGACCCTTTGAGATCTGGGTGAGAACACCAATGAAGTTCACACCTCTCGAGTGATGCCAGAGCCAGTCTAGGATCCTTGGCCTGGGAGGTGCTGGAACTCCCCTCCTGCCATGTGGCTCCTCTTCATTCTCCTGAAGATGACAGGGTACTACTGTCCCATATCTGGAAGAGATGGATTGCCACCATCATCCTCTCCACCATCTGTGCCCTTCTCATCTAGCACCATGCCATTCAGGGATCCCTGTAAAGACATTTGGCTACCAAATGCCTTGGGGGAGGAGAGGGCAGACAGGAGCAATGGTACCCCTCTCTTGTATTCAGTGGTCCGAATTCTTCCTGTGGGCCCCAGCCCCCACCAAGGAGTGGAAATGCATTCCTTACTAATTAGTCAAAGTCCTTTTTTCTGTCATCAGCTCACTTCCAGCATACCTGGTTTGAGCCCCAACCAGCCACACTTCTTCCAGACCTCTGAGACCTCAAGTAAAGAGCTGAGTACATTATAGCCAGGGCAGCTAGGTGGCACAGTGGATAAAGTGTTGGACCTGGAATCAGGAAGACTCGCTTTCCTAAGTTCAGATTTAGCCTCAGACACGTACTAGCTGTGGGACCCTGGGCAAATCATTTCATCCTGTTTGCCTCAGTTTCCTCATCTATAAATTGAGCTGGAGAAGGAAATGGCAAACCACTCCAGTATCTCTGCCAAGAAAACCCCAAATGGGGTCACAAAGAGTCAGACATGACTGAGATGACTGAACTACTACTACGTTATAGACAAATGTCAACATTAATGTCCTCCAAGTTCCTGTAACCACCTGGAATGATAGCACCACTGTACCAGCAAGACAAGAAGATAAGACACACAAGAAGACAAGATCTTGAAACATTCTGGGAAGCTGGAAAACAAGACCATTCCCCTGAGAAGAATGCTGGTGGCCACTTTCGGCCCACAAGGTCCAGCAAGTTACCTAGAACAATGTTTGTTCCCTTCCTTTGTTCAATTCACATGTTGAGAGAAAGGCAATGAACCCCCTTCTAGAGATGCTCTTTCTCACAGGTGGGGTACATGACTAGACAGGTGGAGGCCATGAGGACCCTCTGCCCTGGCTAATGTGGAAGAGAAAGTGGATCCCATGGTGGAATGTGTCCCCCATCCTCCCCGTCTGGCATTATTACCAAGACAGTGCCTGATCTTCTCTCTCCCTGGCCCTGCCTGGGAAACAAGCTACATGGGCTCCGTTAATCCCAATTTTATCATGGGTGACTTGGTTCCCCTCTCTGCGCCTCCTCTCATCAGCCATGCTCCAGTGGAAGCCCTTCTCCTTCCCCTCCCCCTTAAAGAGTGGTTTGTGTGTTGGAGCCAAAGGCAAGGAGGATGGAGGTGTGTGTTCGTGTGTGTGCGTGTGTGTATGTATATAGGGAATATGTATGTGCACGTGTGTGTGTGAGGCATGTGTGTGCCCCCATATACTCCCTTAGTCTGTCCAGATCTATCTATAGCATAGCAGGCGATGGCAAAGAGTCTTCTCAAGGCTTCATCCCCCACAAACAGTGTTCCCAGACAGCCAAGAGATAAATTTAGCACACAGGATTTTTTAAAGAGATAGTGAGGCAGCCACTGCAGCTTTCTCTTCCCCCCCCCCACCTTGGGCCACCCTTTCTCTGGGGGTTCTCTCAAGCATTGGCCCTTTGCCCGTTTGTTCCCCTGCCCCCTCAGACCACAGGGGTCAGCTCAGCTCCCAGTGAACAGTTTGCTGCTTTTCCTTGCTCCACAAACAAGCGCGCCAGTTGATGAATGCTTTGGGGATGGCTAATTAAAGGGGGGAAGTGAACAGACACACACACATGCATACACTATGCTATATGGAAATTGAATTCAGTGAGGCTAGAAAGAGAAAATGGAGCTTTGAAGGGGATGGGGATGAAGAGGACGGTGCAGACTGACACAGGGGGCTTATGGGAATGATTACATAAGACATGAATGGGTTTTTTTTTTATCCCACTCCTTCTCTCTCCCCCAATGTTCTCTCTTTTCCTCCCAGGATCTCCACCTCAGCCACATACACACCCACACTTAGGACATAGCCTAAAATTTACAATGACCCACCCTGGCCCGGCTGCCCTTCGTGTCCGCCTATGCACAACACTTCACCCTCTCTCTCCACTGCACATGCATGCCAATAGCTCCAGGGGTGTTCCCTAGCCTATCAGGTAGTTGTATGTAATAATATAGGCTTATCTACACACATACATAAACACACCAGGACACCACATGTCACCTCCATTCTTATGACCTCAGACACTGCCAGCTGCATGGTGTAAGAGGGAGCTTCAGGGAGCTGTGTAACTTTGGGGGGAGTCCTCTAACTTCTCTGCACCTCAGTTCCCCCGTGTGTAAAATCAGGGCATTGGACTAGATGACCTCCCAGGTTCCCATTAGCTCTGCCGAGGAGCGTAGGAGTTTGTAGCAGGTATCTTGGTTTTGATGACTTTGGGCCCACCTTCCCAAAGACAAATGTCTCTCAGCCCTTGCCGGGGGCTTGGTTTCCCTGTTTTCAATCTCAGCAGATTTCTAGGTTCCTTTGTCGCCCACACAATACTCTTTCCTTCCTCTCTTCAGCTCATTAATCTTCTTACCAGATAGGTAGGGCGATTGAAAGAGAGACAGAGAGAGATAGATGAGAGACAAAGGGAAATACACAAAGAGAGAGAGAGACAGAAGCCTAGTGGCAAGATCACTGGACTTAGAGTCAGAAGACTTGGGTTCAAGTCCTGGCTGTCACTAGATTTGAAACCTTAGACATATCATTTCCACTCCATGAGCCTCAGTTTCTCCATCTAAAGTGAGTGGAGTGGACCACTTGGTCTCTTCAGCTCTGAAGCCTATGATCCTCTAAACTCTTAACCAAATCACTATATATACTATCTCAACGAATTCATACAAAACATTTAAAAAATCACATTAAGCAAAAAAATACAATAAATGGAGACTAGAATATGTCTAAGATCCCTTCTACCTTGAAAAACTCTGGTGCAGTGGAAGCAGTGGCAGGCTTGAAGGAAAAGGACAAGGGTTCTGGTTCTCTGGTCTACCATTTACTAGCTGTGTAACCTTGAGTGTTTCATTTGACATCTTCCCAGGCCAGCCTCAGTTTCCCCCTCTCTAAAATGAAAGGAGTAGACCAGATGATCCCAAAAGGTTTCTTCCACCTCTGCTATCCTGGGAAATCAACAACCCCTTGAATAGGCTCAGCCAGATTGAAATGCCTCATGGTATTGGAACCACATGCCATGGAGGATGCATTGCCCTCCCTTCCCCTCCTGCCAGCCCCCTCCCCAAATCTCCCGAGTTGCCATGGAAACAGCAGCCCCTCCTGCCACCTAGCTCTTATGTCTTCTTTCATGTTCTTTCCCCTGCCCAGAATCACCACTACTGCTGCCTGCATGATGGATCTGCGAAGATACCCCCTGGACCAGCAGAATTGCACCCTCGAAATTGAAAGTTGTACGTATTCCTCCTTGGTCTCTTCTCTTCCCTCTGCTCCAGCTTCTGTGGGTCAGAAGAAGGAAGGAACAATGGAGGGGCTTGGAGGCAACCTGTGGTTCCTCTTTGCTTTTTTTCCAAAGCCCCTGCCTCTAGATGCATGCCAGGGCATGTGATTTTGAGTCTTCGGCTGCCAGAGAGATCCTCGATCCTTCCTTCTTGGTGACTGATGGAATGCAATCAGAACCCTTTTTTAAATTCCAACCATTCTCCAAATATATTACCCTTTTGCCTTCCATTCAAATGAACATAGAACAATTGAATTCTAACACAGGCATTGTCCAAAATCTTGATGCTCTATTTGTATATATGCATCTGACAAAGTACTAGTTATTTTCTTGAAAGGTTAGGGTGAACAGTGAATTGTCGTGCTCAGTATGATTGGTAATGGAGTGTAAATGAGATCCTGAAGGCACTAATGACTGATGTCATACTTGGTACCTCTTGGTATTTTGAGAATAGTTTATGACCAAGAAAACAGTGGAATGGGAATTATACACAATTCCCTACACTGTGATTTTGTTTATAATGAGACACTCTTGGGAAATTTCCTACCGCTAATGCCAGTTTTTCTTTTTGTTCTCCATTACTTGCAAGCCTTACTCAGAATGTGGGAAGCGAAATTTATATCCTTAACATTTTTGTCTTTTGCCACTTCGAGAATTTGAAATTAACTCTGGGCTTTTGGGCTGGCTTCTTTGACCCTGAAAGGGTCCCTGTTGACAGCAGTCACCTGAGGGAGGGGAGGCCAGTGACCTTTGGGAGCCTTAGAACACAGGCTTCATCCTTTTCCATGCATTTCCATTCATCCTGAGTACAAATATTAGCCAAAGACTCTGGCGCAGACAGCTGACCACATATTAGCCTGTACAGCAATGCTTCTCTCTTTGTGTGTGTGTGTGTGTGTTCATAACGGGGGGGTTGCCTCACTAGAAAAGCGGCAAGGCCTAGGTTGAAGGGACGAATTAGGGACAAGGGTTGCATTGCCAACTCTGTTAAAAGGAAGACTTGTATGGTCAGCTGAGAAGCCGTTGAGAAATTAAACCCAAAGCACCCACAAATATGTGTGACAGGATGGGGTGCCCATTGGCTCTTTCCCAGCTCAGAAACTCTCAAGTTGGCCCTTTGTCCACATGGCCCATAGGGAGCACTCCCTGGTGGCCCTCTGAAAGGGCTGCTGAGCACCTTTGTATGTCCTAAGCTGTGGTGTCCCTGCTGGTAGCTGAGGACCTAGAGGAGAGCTGACCCCATTCTCAGGCTCCTGCCCCCAGGGATACTTGCTAAGAAAGGAGTGGGCTTGACTCTTGCAGGTATATTCTGAAACTGACCCATCTCCCTGCTTCTCTTCTTCCACCTCCTCCTTCCAGATGGCTATACCGTTGATGACATTGTGTTCTATTGGCAAGGGAATGACTCAGCTGTGACTGGGATGGATACGCTGGAGCTGCCTCAGTTTACCATCATGGAGCAAAGACTGGTTACCCGAGAAGTGGTGTTTACCACAGGTGGGCCCCGGAAACCCACATGCCAAACCACTAGCAACCCTCCCCCGACCCTTTCTTATCTCTGCCTCTGTTTCTGTCTCTGCCTCTCTCTCTCTATGTCTATCTCTTTCCCTGTCTCTTTCTGCCTTGCCCTCTGCCTCTACATCTGTCTCTGTGCTACTATTTCTATCTCTTTCTCTCTCATCCTCTCTATCTCCTTTTCTCTCTCTTTCTCTTTCTCTGTCTCTCTGTCCCTCTCTGTCTGTGTGTGTCTGACTCTAACTCAACCTCTCCCTATCCCGCTCTCTTTCTACTTCTTTATCACCCCTTCTTCCTCTCTCTCTATTCCCCTCTCCCCATGCCCTTGCCTGCTCTGGACCGCCTTTGCTTTTTTCCTCTGTATCCCTAGTGCTTAGCACAGCGCTTGATACATCATGGGCGCTTAATAAACGCATTTTCATTCAGTCAGTACAGGCTCCATTTCTCTCCTGCCCCCTCTCCTCTGTCTCCCTTGTCTGTGCGTCTCTTGATTTTCTCTTCCTCCTGCCCCAGCCTAAGTGCTCCTGGGAGGGTGGTCCCAGGGAGAAGCCTTTTCTCCCTCCTCTCTTTGCACCCTCACCCCTACCTCACAGAATCAATATGTGCCAGGGCCTCAGAGGGAGCTCAGCCCAGAGAGGTCAGCTGCTCCTCAAGGAACCACACCTCACCCATCTGCCTGGCATCCTCTGTTCTATAACAGGGGCTCATGGGGCAACTGAACTGCTGTCCTGACTGAAGGATCTCCGCCTTTAGATGGTCCTCAGAAGTCGAGCAAGAAAAACAAGACAAACCAGACAGCCTTCTGAGTTAGGGAACTTAGTGCTGAAGTGACAGCTCCACACCCAGGGAGACAGATTCCAAGTCCAGACTGGCTCTACCTTAGCCCCTCTCTTCTTGGGTCACAGCCCCTAGCTAGGTTGACATACAGACCACGGAAAAGCTTCATTCTGCCCAATTCAGAGCACCAAGAAGTATACCTGGATATCCTTGGGTAGGTCACCTCCCCATGCTAGGCCTCAGTTTCCTCACGTATAAAATAAAGAGGGATGGCCCTGGGACCCTTCCAGCCCAGAATCCTCTAGTTGGCCCAGGATGCAGGGCTCCCTCAGTTGGTGCCTGCCTATGAATCTCATTTTTAGTCACATGGAATCTCCCTCCCCACCAGCTCCCAGCCCTGGAAGCAGCTGCCTCTGTGTCCAACAGCCTAGGCTTCCACTGGGCTTTCCTCTACTTTTCTAGAAATATGCTACTAGTTTTTCCTTTCATCACAGCATTTTATAACTTGGTTTGTATTTGCTCCTAAGAAGCAATCTAGCTACTTAGAGGGGCTAGTGGCTACCATTTGGCTACCATTTGAGTTTCAGGGGGTCCTGGCCCATTCTCGCCTTCAAGCTGATGAGCCAAGGAATAAGACAAAAGTTTCCCAAAGTTCAGCTGCATGCCAGAACCAAATCCAAGCTAAGGAATGATTTCTCACTTAGAGGACTTTGAAAATGACCAAGCTCTTCACCAAGCTTGGTGAAATGATCTCTTTCCTGTCCATACTCTGATCTCTAGGAATATTTAGGGAAACTCAAACAGGGTAGAGAGGCCTAGAGGTAAACTCAGAGAGCCTTTACAGCACAGAAAGCAACAGAAGATAGCAGGCCTCAAATTCCAGCTCAGTTACTTCCTAGCTATTTGGTCCTGGACAACTCATTCCCCCCAGAACTTCAGTTTCTCCTCCTGTAAAGGAGGGGGAAATAACCCTACCTCCCAGAATTGTCATGAAGAAATCACTTTGTAAACTTTAACATTCTCCAAAAACATGGGTTATTGTTGAAAAGGGCCCTTTATTACCATGGGTACATCTCCTGTTCCACAGGCCAGTCATGTGCCTCCCATGGTGGCCTTCCCTCCCCTCTGTTTGAAGGAGCCTAACAGGCTATTGGACAGACCACTGTAGCAACAGTTCAGTTTATTATTAACCAATATGACAGAGACAGTTGGGCTCCCGCCTGCTGGGGACCTGGCTTGGTGACCCCAATGCATAGTCCTAGTAGCAGCCATCAGATTATAATAAACTGAGTGCAGATTGGCCAGGTGGTAGTGGCCTGGCATTGTCAATGCCCCAAGCAAGGCCTGGTTTGCTGATAAATGGGCAGGTGGCTAGAGAATATCCTTCTAAGGCATTAGCACTCAGAGTCATTCCCTTATATGCCTGCCTCTTTATACTCCTCCACAAAGATTCAATTCAATTTAACAAGCATTTATTAAAGGGTGTACTGTGTGCCAGGCACTATGCTAGGCCCTAGGTATACAAATTCAAAAGTGAAACAGCTCCAGCCATCAAGGAGCTTACATTCCACTGGGGGGGGGGGGGGGCGCGAGGAGTGGCATATACACAAATAAGTCAATTACCACAGAATTTGGCAGGCCACAACTGGGGAGATCAGGGCAGGTCTCACATAAGGGTCATTTAAGCTGTCCCTTGAGGCAATCTGGGGGAGGGGTTCCAAGAGGTAAAGGCAGGATGCCACAGAGGATAGCATATGAAAGAGCCCAAGGGCAGGAGAAGGAATCCCATTGGGAACACAGAGTGTGAAGGGGAGTAATATAGTTAACAAGACTGGGAAGATAAATTGGAAACACAATTGTGATCAGCTTTAAATGCCAAAGAGAGGCATTTGTATTTGAGCCTAGATGTAGTAGGTCATGACTGGAGTGCTCCCCATTCCCGTTATCTTAGTAGAACTGGCATCAACCACCAGATAACAGGAACGGCCGGCTGGGGTGTCTCCTCCTTAGGTTCATACCTGCGTTTGTCACTGAGTTTCCGGATCAAGAGAAACATCGGCTACTTCATCCTGCAGACTTACATGCCCTCTGTCCTCATCACCATCCTGTCCTGGGTCTCCTTCTGGATCAATTACGATGCTTCTGCTGCCAGGGTGGCACTAGGTAAGTCTCTGCCTCTGGAGTAATCACCCTGGATTGCAGCCATTTTTCAAGGATACAGAAAAGGAGAGATGGCTTTTGAGATGATTACACTTCTTGCCACCCTCCACACACACCCCCTCCAAGGAAAAGATCTCTATACACTTGCCCTGGCACAGCCTGTGAGGAGCTATTCTGAACATGAAGGCAGGACTGGGATCCCCAGGCCAATGGGGGCAATGTGAACAGAGCTCACAAAGACCCCGGGCTCCATCCATCCCATGCTATTCAGTAGGGGTGGAGAGTCAAGAATCTTGGGTCAAATCCCAGCTCTGCTCCTTATTTTAGACAAGTCTTTCCCTCTCTTCTGGGCCTCAGTTGCCTCTTTTATAAAATGAGGGGGTTAGACTACATGCCTTCCAAGGTCCCTTCCAGCTCTAAACCTATGATGCTGTCATCCAAAGGCTCTCGTTAGAATAAAACTACCTCCTGGAAAGAATCATTCCTGAACCCTTCTGAAAGGCCCGAAACCTGGACCAAGGTAGGCCTGGAGGTAATGCTACACGAAGAGGCTTAACGGACATGGAGGGATGCTGAAGACAAAATTGGTCTCCTTTGCAATAGAACTGTGAGCTGACGGAGTCCTTAGCCCTCCCAGACCCACATGCATGAACACAGCCCCCCACCCTCACTCCAGTATCCTACTGCCCAGGCACTTTGAAAAATTGGATGTAGGTAGAAGTAAGATTTATGAATGCCATTTATTTTGACATCAAAGTCATTTGCGGGAGAGGCAGTCGGGGTTAAGTGACTTGCCCTAGGTCACACAGCTAGTAAATGTCTACAGTCAGATTTGAACTCAGGTCCTCCTGACTCCGAGGCAAAGGCTCTGTCACTGTGCCACCTAGCTGCCCCCGTGTCAAGGTCATTTCTGACAACATTTCCCTCACCTTGAAATTGACCTCTCCCTTTAACTAAGAAAAACAGTTGAGCAAAGGCACCAACCCAATATACTGCTAAGCCTCCCCTGCTTCTCCTTCAGTGCCTCCTTGCTGCAGATGTAGAGGGGCCCCAACACCTGAGTCCTCTCCAGCTCCAAGCCCTCTGACAGGTTTGGTACTATATTGTTTGCAGGTGTAACTACAGTGCTTACCATGACCACCATCAACACTCACCTGCGGGAGACCCTTCCCAAGATCCCATACGTCAAGGCAATCGACATCTATCTCATGGGCTGCTTTGTCTTTGTGTTCCTGGCTCTCCTGGAATATGCCTTTGTTAACTACATCTTCTTTGGACGTGGTCCCAGTGAGCAGAGCAGGAAGGCCCAGGCTGGCAAACGCTCCCAGTCCCAGGGAAAGCGAGGCAAAGGCCGCAGAGGACCTCAGGTTGGTCATCCTCTTCCGCACTAACTAATGAGGTCCAGAACCCTTCTCTCAGGGTCTTCACAGTTCTAGAGCTTCCCCAGATTGAGCCTGAAAGGGTGTCCTAGCCTAGGGGTGAGAAGTAACTCTCCACGATTTCCTTTGGGATTAGGGTTACAGGGTCTACCCAAGCTCCAGAAATCATCTGGGGATGATGGCACCTCTGAATTGGGTCCAGGGAAGCTCTAAGACAGACAAAGGAGATCTGGACCTCTGGGTCCTCCCGAAAGGCCAGCAAGTGGAAGGAGCCACTGCTCCAGGTCTTTTCCCAGACCTTGTGGGCAGAACTCCTGGTCTGATCTTCTACATGGTCACTCATTGATCACCTGCCAAGAAGTCACCCAAGCGGCCTGCTCAAGTTGCCTCTCTGAGGCTAACAACTCTGTTGCTGCTTTTCTCCCCCTCGCAGGTGGATGCCCATGGAAACATTGCCTTGAGTGTTCTGGAAATAACCAATGAGATGGAGGAATCTGAAGCATCTGTCAACATCTCTGGGCTTCAGCTGCGCAGGGGGGCAGCTTCTCGGGCTGCCCTTAACCAGCCAATGGAGCCAGTCATCAGCCCTCTTGGGAGTCGCCGCCGCCGCCGCAGCTCTGGGTGCCGCCAGCGTGGTGGCCGCCTCCGCCGCCGTACCCCCAAGATGAAGCTCAGAATGCCCACCCTGAATGATGTCAGCGTGGTTGATAAGTGGTCTCGGCTTGTCTTTCCTGTCACCTTTGCCTTCTTCAACCTCTTTTACTGGCTATACTATGTCAATTAAGTCCCCATGACCTCGGGAAAGATAATCAGGCCATTATGACCCGGGCGCTGTGGTCCTTTTCACTTTGGTTCCTTCTTTCATTATTTGGTTCCTTAGTTTGGTTCTAGACTTTTCTACTCTTTTCAGCACACTGCAAATATTGAGTGTGTCAGGAGAGGGAGAGGAAGAAGGAGAGGAGGAAAAAAGAGTGTTTGCAGTTGGAAGAGACTAGCACCTCTATTTTGCTTTGTGCTGAAAGTCTTTCACCTTTTAAAAAAATGTCAGAACCGAGCCAACAAGCACAAAATAACTGGATGCTGCCACCTCTTGTTGGCCGCTGTTTTAGTCAGGATTTGCCTTCTCCTGGCCTTCACTGAGCTGATCCTTGTTATGGTTGGAGGTTCGAGTTAAGAGGGGAGCTATGACAGCCATCTATGCTGACCCTCACTCACATATAGTAGGCACTCGTTAAATGAAGAAATGTTTCAAAGATCAACTCTGAGGACCAGGGGGAGGGAAGCTCTGGCTTTTCCAGCACATTCAGATTAAGAAAAATTCATTGGCCCTGAAAATGAGTTCGTTTTCCACTTCTCCCACCTCTTCTTCATCTAGTTCCTAAGTGGGACACCTATCTAGTTGCCCCGCTGGACTCCCTGATTTTTCGGCAGGGAAGTTTGGTGAGCATCTGTCTCCTAAACAGTCAGGAGATGGGGACAACACTCATTGGTAAAGAACAGAGTATAAGAATTCGCTGAAGATTTGACCTAAAGGTTTGTAGGGAGAAAGAAAACGTTCAGAGAAGGGAGCCGTAGTGCTAAGGCTGATTTGTCTGGTGCTTTGGGAGGGTAACAAAGATGTTAGAATTCACTGGAGTGAAAAAAATTTTTTTTAATTTAAGAAAAAAGAATTTACTGGAGTGACCAAAGATGTTGTCCCCTCCTCCTACTGCCCCACAACCCAAGTCACAATGAGAGTAGACAGGGGCCCCTAGCCTGCCCCAGTCAGCTCCCAGAGTGGCATGGGCCTCCTCTGCAGGCAGCAAGCTTGACAGGAGGTTTGAGTTAAGAGGGGAGCTAGTACAGCCATCTATGCTGACCCTCACTCAGCCTCGCAGAAACCAAAATGAGAGGACCAAGGGGGTTAAAAGCAGACAAAAGCTCATCTATTTCTTGGGATAAGGCTAGCTTTGTGTTCTCCTCCTGCCGGCTGTGGAAGTTTGGACTCTCTCATTTAATGGGACAGTTTTCTTTTCCCCAGCATCAGAGAGTCCACCTCCCATACCCCAAAACAGACTTCATGAATATTGACTTGCAAAAAGAAAAAAGTGAAAGATTCTAAAAACTCTCCCTTCTACTTTTCTCTCTTTCCATCTCCTTTCTTGTCTTTTCCTTATTTCTCTCTATCCCTTCTCCATTTCTCAGGGTTTCTCAGGATTTTATCAGTTATATCTTTGTCCCTTTCCATTTTTCAACATTACTGCACATTCTGTTTCAACCCAGTGCCCTGGTAAAACTAAAAAGGTGTCTTAAGTAGCATCCCAAATGCAATTAGAAAAAAAATAATTCAGAGGTGGGCAACTCTGTTTAATACATACTACTTAATGTGGCTTTCACCTGTCAAATTCTAGTCAACTTCCTCATAAGAGAACTTTCCCGAAGTATATCTGAGAACAGAATTCCTTAAGCAAGTACCTTTTTGAGAGTAACCATTGTCTTATGTTCTAAACCCTGCCTGGCAAAGGCCAGAAGCCAGGTGGTGACTGCTCGTAATTCGAGATGGCCTCTGCATTTTGCTTTTCCCTCTTTCTCTCTCCTCTTCTCCTATCAATTTTTGACTCCCTATGGTCCCTCCACCACACAAGAAGAGACATTTTAAAAATGCCAGCTCCTTCCCCGCATAAAAGACCGGGGCTTTTGCTAAGGGGCATCCTAAGGGCTGTCAGAGATTCTGCTGCCCTATAGGAGCTGAGATTAGACCCACGGCCTCCCCTCCCCCCCGGCCATTTGGGCATCTCGGCATAAGGCATTATAACAAGGTGCTCCTTCCACCCCCATTCTCAACTTGAGTGCATTATATATAGGGGTTTCTTTTTGTATTCTAGCACTCTTTGGGGGTGGATCATCTTTTAGCTCTTCTCTGTGGCCCCCTTATTTCTATTTTTAAGCAGAGGTGATAAACCCTGCGTGGGCCTCTACCCCTGAGGCAGGGACCAAACCCCTAAGAGGAGAGAATAATCCCTTCCCCCTGTGTATCGTGCTTTCTATTTGTCAAAGTGTTTTTTTACATGCTTGATTGTATTTAATCGACCTTGTGATTATAATCCACATTTTAAAGATTACAAAATTTTGAGGCCAGAGTGGAAAAGTGACTCACCTGAAGTCACACAGGAAGTAAGAAGCAGAGCCAAGAGCAGAAGCCAGTTAGACCTTGTGACTCCCAGCCTAGGGCTGATTCCATCATCTCTGCTGCCCCCACAGAGCAGCAGCAGCAGCAGCAGCAGCAAACCCAAAGTTCACCTGGGAGCTGGTCTCCAAGAATCCCTGAGTAGAGTGGGTTGTTATCAGAGTTAGAGGTGAGCTCTCGGGGGTGCCAGGTGAGCTCAAAGCCAGCAGGAACCCGAGGGCAGGATAGGCTAGGTTCAAAAAACCAAATGTTCAAGTAACATCTAGCCATTCAGACTAATGACGATGGCAGGGAACCTCGACCTGGATTTGCCACAATTCTAGCAAAATAACAGGATCTACAAACAAAGCTCCACTTGAGAGCATTTGCTAAGATTTTTCTACTCAAGCTACATCTAAAATTATACTCTCGGTTTTGGGAGCCAAAATGGATGCATTACTCAAAATGGCGCTTGGGAGCCTTCTCAACTCGACTGGCTCCCCACGCTTCTGGCCCAGAAACCATTAGTTCCCTGTATGCTTACCACTCACTAGGCTTCCCCTTACCATGCTGTGCTATCTAACCAACAATCTTCTGGGCTACTTTCCTCCCCCGCTACCCCTGCTTTATCTTCCTCTTCCCCCCCTCCATGTTTAGGTCAGTTTCTTACATGTACAGGTGTATGTAAAGATTTACTTGAGCTTATCACCCCCATTCCTCTGCCATGTGCGTATGTCACTAGTGAGGTTTGTATGTACTTGCGTGTCTGTGCAGTATGCACCTATGTCCTTGAGTCAGGATTTTTGAGTGTCTGTGTATGTGAGAGACTGTCTATTTGCCACGCACATTTACCTTTGTGTGTGATAGTGCGTGTGTCTATATCTGCCATGCACCTTTATCTTTGTGTGTGTGCATGTATGAGACAGAGAAAAAGAGAAAATGTGTCTATCTACCATGCACTTTTATTTATGCATGTGAGTTTCTGTGTGTGAGAGAGAAAAAGAGAAAAAATTGTGTGTCTATCTGCCATGCACCTTTATGTATGTGTGTGAAAGTGTGTATGTGTGAGAGTCTGTGTGAATGTGAGAGTGTGTGTGAGAATCTGAGTGTGTGTGTGAGTGTATGTGTGTGTGTGAAAGAGTGTGTGTGAGAGAGTGTGTGTGTGTGTGTGTGAAAGAGTGTGTGTGTGAGAGAGTATGTGTGTGTGTGTGTGTGTATCTCACTCAAAGATAGAGACATATACCAGATCATCAAACACGCTCTCTGTTATGTGCCTGCATCTTTAAGTGAGAAAGAAGATGTGTGTGTCTGTGTGTGGAAGAGAGAGTGCTGGAGTGCCTCTCTGGGTCTGGCATGTGAAAAAGAGTGTGTGCATACACTTCGGAATGATGTGATAAATGTGGGATCGCATCACTGAGTCCATGTGCTTGTCTGCTTGTCTGCTGTCTGGGTGTTTGCTAGAATAGTTATGAGAACTAGCATGCCTGAGATCATATGTCCTGAATCAATGGTTCTCGAAGTAGGAACCACACACATCCTCCCGGAAATCGACAGAAATCTCTGTCATCTTTTTTGCAAAAGTCTCTTCTGGTGCACTAGCTGTCTCTTTAAGAGGGTGTGTCTGAAGTTCCTCACACTGAATGTGCTAATTAGAGGCCTAGCTCAGGATTCAAGCCCAGGTCACTTGCTCCTTGTCCTCCTCTGGCTTGAGGAGCCAGTGTAGAAACCCCAAGCTGGCCAGGGCTAGAAAGTGATTGGTCTTTGTAAGGATGGGACTGAGAAAGCACTCGAGGAAGAGACTCGATTGAAGCAGTATGGACTTACTCAAGCCCGTGAGCTTCTGGTCTCCTGGCATCCAACCAGGAACAGGTGTAGCTGCCATTGGTATTCTGGACAGCCTGACAGGTGGGTTACCACCAGTTCTGGCTGAGCAGACTGCCCAGGATAAGCAGGCACTGTTTTCAGATTGTCTCACGCTCATAGGGGATTTCGACTTGGGCTGAAAATGAGCCGAGCCTGACCGTAGGTGGTATGTAGTTTCCTTGAGATGTGTGCATGTATACGGACAGCAGAAACGACAGCACCAACAGCTCCAGTCTTTCAAGAAAGCAGGACCTCTTGTCACTGCTTGACCCCCCATTCATCCTAGAGTGACTCCCATCTCGTTCCCGCGGAAGGGATCCCTGGGGCCGACAGTGGGGCCATTCCCAATAAACAAGGCCTCTCTCCCTGGAGAGGTAGTCTGCACCTTGGGCATTGACCAGGGTTCTCAGGCCTGAGTTTGGGCTCTCTGAGAGAGGCAGGAAGTCAAAATGATGAGGGGGAAGAGAGGCTAGAATCCGTGATATGTCAGAAATGGGAGTGGAGATGGTTGATAGCCCAATGAAGCCACTGGAAGGTAGAACTGGAGAAACATGGAGAGTAGGGACATGTTGTTGTCTGAAGTTTCTAAGGCTCAAGTCACAGTGCTGGACAGGAAGTCTATGGTCAGTGGATGGGATAGGTTTGGGGGTCAGAAAATGACCCCTCTACTGAGGTGTGTGGGCCAGATCTCCCTGCCACCAATGGATTGAGACAGATCTGCTCTTCTGTATCCCAAATGGTAGCCACCAGTCTAGAAGACGGAGACACAGGACCAGGGCCTCTCTAAACGAGGACGATCACTTGGGTCTTGCTGAGCCCTAGATGGCAAGCTCAGAGGACTAAAAGGCATGGAAGCCAGGGATAGAGAATGACTAGGCTGGGTGGTCAGAAGACACTTAGAGAAAGAGAGTAGGAAGGGGAGAGAACCTTGAAGGTCTATTGAAAAGGCCTAGTAAAGAGCATGGGGAGGAGGTGGGCAGAGCCCTAGAGAAGGGGGTGTGTATATAGTCCCCTTAAATTAATATCCTATTTCTGTTTTCTTGTTGTAGGCCAAATGAGCTTGCTGTTGTGTGTTGAGGTTGGTGGAACAGCCCCAAGCTCAGTGCTGTACTAAGGGAAAAGGGGCCCTGGGGCCCCTGACTCATGGGCCCTAGAGGATAGATGACCCCAACAGGAGATTAGGACCTGGGAGCACAGAATAGCATTTCTGGGGCCTGGTGGCCTTTTGGTCTGCTCTTTTTTTAGCCGTTGTACTATGTGTTGTGCTGTGTGTACACCTTGACACCTGCAGAGACATTGAGAAAGATGTGGCTAACGGGTCAAGGGCAGAAACAGAGGTGAGAAGCGGTTCAAGTGCACCAGGAAACTGGCTGGCTCATGAAGCGCTCTGTCTCTGTCTCCGTCACTCTCTTTGTCTATCACACGCACACACCTCCAAAAATCTGCTCACACACACACACCCTGTCTCTTGCTTGGTCACTCACTGGCTTGTATACATGCATAGCACAGTAGATGCCCCATTCATTCCAAGACCTAGCTATAAGCTATTCTAAGGCAGCTAAAGAGACCTCTATAAAACAACCAAGAAGCATGAAAGGAAAATCTGTTTGAGTGGCACACCCTGGTTGCTGAGTCCCTCACCCCCACCTTCCTGAGGTTGGGGAACAGGGCTCAAGTTGGAAGAAAGAAGGAGCCTCAGGTTGTTTTAGAAAGAGATTCAGTGTTCAGGTCTCGTACCTGGTGCCCATTTAATTGTGGTGAGCTTTATTTTTGAGCCCATATTGACAAGTATGCTGGCCCTAAGTAGGGTCTAGTGACATGAACAAGATGAAGCATTCTTTGACCTCAAAGGCAAGAAATTCATCAAGACAGGAAAAATTCCTAATCCAAAGCTGTCTTTTCTTGAGCACTCATGCTGTGCCAGGGAGAAAATACAGCTAAAGAAGATTCAGACCCCTCCATCAGAGAAGTTCCCACTCTAGTAGGTGAGCTAAGGCAGACACATGCAAAAAGCATTCCAAACCTAGGGCACACCAAGGTCAGTGCCCCATGACTCCAGCGGATACCAGGGCTTTGAGGAACTTCAAAAGAGACAGAAATCACTCCAGAATGGAGTGGTCAAAGAAAGCCTAGCTGTGTAGGGTCTGAGAGAGGAAAAAAGAACAAGCGTCCTTAGGGAACATTTCTATTAGGAGCACAGAGAGACAGTAAAGGGGGATCAGAGTAGGCAGGAGAAGTAAATTGGAGCCAGATTGTGGAGGGCCCCAACTGCCAGGCAGAGGAAGTGGGATTTAATCCTTAGGCAGTGGGGAGCTATCGAAAGTTGAGTTTTATGGGGGAAGGGAAATGTAATCAGCAATGTTTTAGGAAAATTACTTGAATGGTAGGATTTAGAATGAATGGAGAGATGACAGATAGCTCTGGACTATGATATGATGTGGTGATCGAGGAACTTCATGCCCTAAATGTATCATACAGACCCACTGAAGACAGACTACCCAAAGGAAAGGGAAATTTGGCATTGACTGTACAGACAGACCCCTCCTCCCCCCGGGGGAGGGAGGGCCCAGATGATTGGGTCCCGAGATCTAAGTCAACTAGATCAAAGGAATCCAAGAGCGACCAAATCTCCCCTTCCCACTGATGTTTCCCTAAATGGACTCTATACACCACTGAGCCGGCTAGCAGCCCCCCTTGTCCACTCTGTGCCATTATGGGGCTGCCTTCTGGACCTCCACAGTCCAAAAGCTGGGCTAGACCTTCCTCCTTAGTAACCACAGCCAGACAGCCAGAGTTCAGGGCAAATCTGGGCTATCTCTGGCAAAAGAAACTGGTCTTAACAACTCTTGGACTAACTGGCATTCAAAAACATAGTACATGCGATTGAGAAGCAGTCAAAGAGGAATACCTTTACTTCCTCCTCCTCCTCCTCCTCCTCCTCTTGCCTTTCCTGTGTTTCTTGCCTTTTCCTGTGTTTCTCTCCCAGGGCCACTCTTCTCTAGTGTAGCTGGGGCTCCAATCATCTTCCCTACACACATCCACACCCACCTACCCATTCCTCCCCACCCCCAGCTGCCAGAGCAGCTGATCTTTTGGGTTTGAATTGAACTTGTCAAATGTATCTGTAAAATCTATTCAATCCTCTTGCTAATCGCAAAGCAATGTTGCCTCTGCATGTTCTAAAGTGAGTGTTGCTGAGAGAATGGCCTTCTCCATTGACATTTCCTTGTTCTGTACATAAAAAGAACTGATGTGCTGGGCTAGCCAAGACAAGCTGTCTCTCAGCTACCCACCTGCACTGGTAACCTGGCAGTTGCCTTTTGGAAATGGGTGACATGTCCTATAGGCTGCTATCAAATGAGCCTTTGTCTGGGATGCCT